ATGATACCTGTCTCTCTTCTAGATAGCCCAGAGCTTCATCCATCATTATAGGCACTTAAAGAAAAAAAAAAAAAGGTACATTAAAAATTGCTTTTGAAATTGTTAACAGGATTCCAGGGCAGAAGGAATAGGGAAACTGAAATAGGAAAGTTAAATCAAGGCCAAACACTGTGGATAATTTGCAGCCAGCTTGTAACTAACAAGCCATTATCTTCCCCAGCCAAGGACACTTGAGAGCAAATGGTTAAAAAACTCAGTAAGAGAATTCAGAAAAGGAGGGAAAAAGGGGATAGGAAAAAAGGGCACTTTTACTCCCTAAGCAGAGAAGCCAGCAGTCTCAAGGCTTGGCAAGGTAAAGTTGCCAGGTGTTTCTCATGATTTCTGGGAAGGTCACAACGAAGTTAAAAAAAGGGGACCTTGAACCCTAGCTGGTTTGGCTCAATGAATAGAGTGCTGGCCTGTGGACTGAAGGGTCCTGGGTTCATTTCCAGTCAAGGGCACATGCCCATGTTGTGGGCTTGATCCCCAGTAGGGGGCGTACAGGAGGCAGCTGATCAATGATTCTCTTTCATCATTGATGTTTCTATTTCTCTATCCCTCCCCCTCTCTGAAATCAATTTAAAAAAAGGGGGGGGGAGATCTTTCAAATTAATCTGTACCAAAATATTCAGTAAAGGAATTTTGAAGCCTATAGAAAGGAGGGTATATAACACCCCAGACCCCCATCCAACATGCTCTTCAGATTAGTTGAGAACCCATCTGTGCTTTATGAGCCAGATGTATAGGTTTGCTTGCTTTGCTTTTTCAATAAAGGTGCATGCTTTAATAAACTGGCTTTTCACACTGCAATCACGGTCTCTCATATAAATTCATTTATATGAGAAGATAAGGATCAAGGTTGGGAATAGTCCTTTCCCACTGACTCAGGGGGCTGTGTGGGAACACCTCACTGGTGTTGATGAGTAGTGTCTCTAACAAAATGATTTATCAAGTTCTAACACACTCAGAGTTTACTTTTGGAAAAAATCCATATAATCTAAGAAGCTATTCTGGGACCTTCCTGCACTAACCATTTTCATTTGGAACACCTGTCCTCTGTTCACAACTTGTTCATTACTCCTCAAGTCCACTTCGGTCTCACTATTTTATGCTGCTGCTCATAGCCTCATAGCTAATATTCTATTTTCCTCTTCTGAGCTGCAACTACCAACTAACTAGATACTCACTACAGCCCACATCTACTAATGTTCTGGGAAAGGCAGTAAAATGCAATACTATAAATTTCCTTTTCTTCCCAAATCATCCCTTACCAGAAAATCAAAAAGGGCTTACACCGCTTTTCTTCATTGTATGAAGGCACAACAATAGAAAGCTGTTTAGTAGGTGAGTCCCTTATGCTGGGTAGAGTTTCCTTCTGTCCTCTGGCATTTAAGAAGAACTTCTCTTCTTCATGTCGATGAAGAGGTGGCATTTCTGTAGCAGTTACAAATGCAACAAAGGAAATCTAAAAGCAGATATGTTAAAAAGAAATTGTTAGGTTCACCTGTTTTACATTTTTTATTTTCGAACGCTGTATGATTTATGTAATCCCCCCCCCCCCTTGCTTAGAATATTTATTCTCAGTTTTTAGTCCATTAACAATAGTCTGGAGGTGACTCCAAAATTCAAACCAGTCTTAAGAATGATGATTGTCCTTTTACCCATTAGTAATGTCTTAAGAGAGACTGTCTCTTCCCACTTGTCATTCCCTAGGGCTGTCATCCCAGATCTAATAGGGAACAAATTACAGAAGTACAATCTGCTCTTAGATGTGCCAAACCCCCAATCCTGGGCACACATTGAGTGAGGTTCTATCCCTACTTGGAGCCTACAGGTGACAGAGGACAAGTTCATATAACAATTGGAACATGTGGGATGAAGGCAGACCTCACATCCAGGACCAGATTGACCCAAGGTATAAAGGGAAGATTCTCCCAATCCACATAGTGGGGACTAATAATGCTTAAGAATTCTTGGCACTTACCCCAGATTTCAACTCAGAATACAGTATTTTCTGGTAAATGTCATGCACTATTAATATTATATAGCTCCCTTCCACATATGATTAGGAGCTAGCTTTGGAAATAGTTATTCTTTGGAATACTACGTCTATTGGCACACCTTCTATTTCTAAACAATCAATCTACTTGTTATCATTTGTAATTTGACAATCATGTATAATGTTCCATTGGATACATACTGAAATTGCATATGCATTTGATTGGTGTGAGCATGGACAGTATCCAGACTAGTGGGTCCAAGTTATTGCTCTGCACCTCAGGTATCCAGATTGTGTTTTCTAAATTCCATCTCCCACTAGAAGCAACCAGTGTTCCTAAGAGGAATGTCTGGTTCAAGTTGGGGCAGGAAATGGGCAATGGTGGAATAGCACATCAATGAGAATGAGGACGATGCAAAAAGGATAAAGTAGCCAACTTGAGGGGCTCTCATTGCCTTATGATGGGAGGATTTGAGCATCAAATTACTGCAAATCCATTGAAACAAATGAAAAATATTTTAAATCATGTATTCATAATACTAAAAATAAAAAATTAATTGGTCACCTTTGTTAAGATGCCAGGGAACTATGTCATTATTTTGAAAACTTGCTTTTTATCTTACCTTTTATATATGAACAGTATTTCAGGTTAACTGGTAGCTGAGGATTAAATTATTTTTCATTATAGGTTTCTAGGTAATATATGAAGGAATGATAAATTAGAATATTCTACTTTTGCCAGTGAAATAATGAATTTAGGTATATTCCCAGTGAAATAATATATTTAGGTAGTGATCATCAATGACTGCTAAAACCTTTAGGTAAATGACAAATTTTATAACTGGTGGGTCAGACTAATAACATCTTAACACCAAAGAAATCACACATTATAAATCTCCTGATGTTATAAAAGAGGAAGTATTCACCATCACTCACACATTTTCCTTGATTTAAAAAAGTCAAACATTTATTTCATAAGTCTCTAGATGTAACTACTAGTTTACAAGAAATTCAGGAGACAGAGATGTTAAAAGGCACCAAATGAGTGCAGTTAGTAAAATGCAGACTGTGAGAAATTCTACAGAAAAAATGACTACTTATTAAAGATAGGGGGGGGGGAGAAATTGTTATAGATCAAAAGACTTGAGACATATCAATGAAGTGCTAAGTGTGTTTGAATGCTGACTGGAAAAAACTGACATACATCAGGCATTGGAACTGATATGTATTTAAAACCACTAAATAATGGTTAATGTAAAAAATAATTTGTGAGAATCCTACTGCCATTATATTTTCAAAGGGGTCCTATCTTTTTAGATAAATGCTAAGGCTTTACAGGTAAAATATTATGTCTTGGACTTGCTTCAAAATAATCCAGAAAGAAGTGGGGTGGGGAGAAAGTATGTATGGAGGGTGGAGATAAATATAACATACTAGTGGCCGGTGCATGGATTCATGCACATTCAAAGGAAATTAATTATAAGAGCTTTATAACGAGAACTTTATATGTATCACGCATGTGCCAAGTCAACATTTATTTTTCAATTGCCAGTGGGCTCATATGTACCGGCTGTCGGTTGGGCAGTCGGACGGACGTACGGTTGGTCACTTAGCTTTTTATATATATAGATAGATAAAACAAGATTTGTGGGGTTTTTTGGTAATAATTATCCACTCTGTCTTACATTTTAAAAAACAAAGTTCCAGGAGCTGTGTGACATTTGTGCATATGAGCTCTTTAACCTGAGTTTCCGCACCAAAAAGAGCTAGTATTTGTCAGTGTTGTTCTAAGATCAAATTTATTGAATATTTACAATACATTGGAAGTATTCAATAAATGGTAGCTCTTATAATCACTTCAAGCCATGGGGTCAACTAGTTCTAGTACAAACTCAAAATGTACACATGTAAATCTGTAACAGATTCAATATGAGGCAGATCAATTTAGGATTTTCGTCAAACCCTAACCTGCCCACACCTGACTTGCTCAAAACCCTGAAAAAAATCCGAAATCTCCATATACCAAAAGCGAGGACTCCTCTCTCACTCAGACACAAATCACCCCAAAGAAATCAAGATAAAGTGCTTTTTCTCTAGCTAAACTGTTCCTAAGCTGTGTTTACAGACTTTCTGGCAAGATGACAGAGACCTTCCTGGCTGCTAATCTGAATGTCAAGGAAGCTGAAACCTCTTCATTAACTAACTAGAGAGCAGGCTCATTCCAAATCATATGGGAGAAAGTTCACTTGGCATACTTTCTACTACTTATGGATCAGCAAGTATTTACAATCTGTTTCCAGAATAATGGCAAAATATATATATATATATATATATATATATATATATATATATATGAGTTTGAATCTTACTGTACTGCATCATTTCGAGGCAGCTAATTTAGGGTGTTTAATTCTGGGACATAACGACCCCCCAGACAGATGTTAACATCAGGCTTTGCCTATCTTGGTCTTCCTGTGTTCCTAGTGGGTCTTTTTGATCCACTAATTTATTTCAATCTGTAATAGATGGCTTCTGTTAGTGCTCTGTTACCGCTATTTGCTTAACCACATAAGGAAAAGGGAGACTAGAGAGCACTCAACCTTCTGGGGGCTTAAGACCTCCCCGGCGGGGCAAGATTGAAGAGGATACAGACCCGGAAGGAAGTCTTGGAGAGGTTGGGATGGACAGAGGGTCCGGGGACAAGGGGGCTAGTGAGGAGTGGGTGGGCACGTCTCAAAGTGAACAAAGGTATAAGGCTCTGAGTACATAGAGCTCCAAAGTAAAAATAAACAAGGAAGAAAGGGGGTGTGAAATTCAGAAGAGGAATTCTGGGATAAAGGGTGGGGATAAGCATGGTGAAAGAAGACACAGCAGAGCCGCCAGCGCGGAGAGAATGCCTGGGCCTAGTCTCCAGAAGAGCAACGAACCCAGGCCCGCGTTAGTCCCCATCCCCTCTTCTCACCAGTATCAGGGCTGCGGCCGCCAGCGCCGCGCCGAGCACCGCGCCGAGCACCACCAGCTGCAGCGGTAGCGAAGCCATCCTCCAAGCACCGGCTGCAGCCGCCCCGTCCGGCACCCACACACGCACGCGGAAGCGGGTCGCACAGCCCCTCCTCCCGCGGGCAGAGAGGCCGCGGCGCCGGGCACCTGCCGCCCACAGCGCCCTCGCGCGGCGAGGCGAAGAACATGTAGTAGTTGTGTGCCCGGCGCCTTGTTCCAAAGCAGGATTGTCAGAATTCGCAAGTAAAAACACACGCTGTCCACTTAATTTGAATTTCAGATAAACAACGTAAGTTATTTTTAACAGCCTTATTAAAATATAATTGCACAACCATATAACCCAGCCATTTAAAAGTTTTGGTATGTCATATACTTTTTTAAAACGGTGATAATTTTTTTGATATTTTAACCATTTTAAATGTACACTACAGTGGCATTAATTAAATTAACAATGTTCTGCAACCATCGCCATCATTTCTAAAACCTTCCCGGCTCCCCAGCCCTTGGTAACAACCACTAACATACACCACTGGAAGCGTACTCCTAGTAGGAAATTACTTTATCTGACATTCAAATTTAATTGGCTGTACTTTATTTTCTGGCAACCCTATCCAGAAGGGAGGTGGAAGCCTTTGAGCCACGACACAGCCTACAAAATCAGCAGCTCCTGTGGAGCCCTCCCGGGAACTTGCAAAGTGTCACCGCAGGAAATTTACGTAATCTCCGGAGCTGGAGCTGGGAGCTCTTTACTTAGTTGAATTAAAACGCGGGCCTAGCCTGACAGAGGCGGGAAAGGGCGTAGAAATTTTGCAGTAATGCTTCACACTCAGTACTGTATTATTTGCTATCAATTCAGTTTTCTTTCAAACTCTTGAACTACCCGTTTCTAAAGAGAGACGCTCATCACTTATCTAATAGCTGATTCGTCAAAACCTGTAGAAGGCAAAGAAACCAAAAGAGACTTCTAGCAAGAGACTGTGGAAACTAAGGCGGGTCAATAACCACCGTAGTTTCACCTTCTGCGTCTCCTGCTCCGGGAGAAGGGCACTCGGTTCCTCGTCGAAAGTGTGGGGGCGGAGCAGGCGCGCGTCCCGGAGACCGAAGTCGCCCCCGCGCAGGCGCAGGATCGCGAGAAGATGGCGGCCGGGTTCAAGTGAGTGTTGGCGGCTGGCGTGCACGAGTTTGTTCCCTGGCAGAGGGTGGCTTCCCTTAACCGTTAGCTGGGGTTTCCTCACCGGGAGGCCACCCCACCAGGTTCCCACTTATCCCCGCGGAAGCCGCCACGGGGCCGGAAGACCTGGAGGTGGTCGTAGGAAAAGAAAAGAGGGCTCCTTCCCGCCAGTGAGACGGAAGGTGGACGGGTGTGTGTGTGTGTGGCGTTCAGTACCCGCTGGGAGTGTTGTCGGTGTAGGTGGGGTAGCCTCTTCCTCATTGGGTGCTTGGGGTGGGGTACTTGGCCTTCCCTTTGTTCCTTTCCGGTTATTAATAACTAGATTATGTCAAGGGTATCGGGAGCACTGTGGCTCGGTAGTGGATGTGCAGCTCCAGGAGACACAGTTGTATGTTTGTAAGAGTGTTGCATCAGGCCCCGCTGGCGTGGCTCAGTGATTGAGCATCGACTATGAACCCGGAGTCAAGGTCGATTCTTGTTAGGGCACATGCCTGGGTTGTGGGCAAGTGTTGCATCAGAACCACATGCCACTTCATTCTCCTTCAGTAATTTATTCCTAAAAGGACTGTGCCTTGTTTGGCAGTTTATTACATAAGCCTTTTTGTGTGTGTGTGCCACTCTGGTTAAACCAATAGATTTTCATTCTTAGAGTCAAGTTTTTAAGCATATAAATAGGAATCCAAAGGAAATCGATTTTATCAAAACAGTTACCTATTTGTATAAAATCTCAAGTGTATGATATAGTGTTGGACATAAACCTGCTCTAAAATTAACTTTCTTAAGCAAAATCTAGTGGGGATTCTATAACTCCTGTAATTTAAAAATAACGATTAGTACACATACCTTCGACAAATTATTAAATAAAAATGAAAACTTCCAGTGTCTGTGGTTGTTAAAGTTGCAGGTACAGCTAATATAATAGTTTATTGCCCACAGTCATAATTGAAGAATATACTAAATTCAGTTACTGAATAGTAAAAATAAAGATGTAACTTTTTTTCATTCTCGCTAAGAACCCCTTCTTCAGAGAGAGAGTGATAGTAACACCTGAATTAATCCTCTTAAAGATGCCCAAGGGCTTTGGGCTCCAATACTGTAATTGTTTAAGGCAGAGTTAAGGACAGCAGTTAATAACTGTGATTGCTACAGCAAGAGTATCTACTTTTAGTAAACAGTTATATGTGGCAACATACACCTCAGAATTTATGAAAAACTTACATATCTTGGAAACTTATTCTGTCTCACTACACTTTTAAGATCTTTGCCAGTTTCTGGGTTTATGTTAAGATTCACTACTTCATGCCCTAACCGGTTTGGCTCAGCGGATAGAGCAGGGGTGGGCAAACTTTTTGACTCGAGGGCCACAATGGGTTCTTAAACTGGACCGGAGGGCCGGAACAAAAGCATGGATGGAGTGTTTGTGTGAACTAATATAAACTCAAAGTAAACATCATTACATAAAAGGGTACGGTCTTTTTTTTTTTTTTTTAGTTTTATTCATTTCAAACGGGCCGGATCCGGCCCGCGGGCCTTAGTTTGCCCACGGCTGGGATAGAGCCTCGGCCTGCAGACTCCATGGTCCCAGGTTCGATTCTGGCCAAGGGCATGTACCTTGGTTGCGGGCACATCCCCAGTAGGGGGCGTGCAAGAGGCAGCTGATCGATGTTTCTCATCGATGTTTCTAACTCTCTATCCCTCTCCCCTCCTCTCTGTAAAAAAATCAATAAAATATATTTAAAAAATAAAAAATAAAAAAAGGTTCACTACTTCACATATATTTTTAATATGTTTCAGAACTGTGGAACCTCTGGAGTATTACAGGAGATTTTTGGTGAGTAAAAGGGGTTATGTAGATGTTATGCCTTTTGATAGTGTATATGCTTTAAAGACAATTTCATATATACAAATGAACATTGTTACATTGTACAACTGAAACAATTGTTATGTCAATTATATAAAAAAATTCAAAAGTAATTTCAACTAACAAGGTTTAATGTGTTTTCCCTGGTTCTGTATAAAATATACACGTAGATGTGCTTTACTTTCGTTTAAATTTATTTAGAAAGAGAACTGCCGTCCTGATGGAAGAGAACTTGGTGAATTCAGAACCACAACTGTCAACATAGGTGAGGATATTTTGAGTTCTAAAATAAGAATGTTGAAGTTGCTTCAGTTTTGAAAATATATTTTTTCTTGTTTTTTTTAATACTAGTAAAGAATTTTTATTTGTAAAGGTTTTTTTAAAACTCACTGTTCTCTCAATTTATATGCTCTTTATTTACAATTTTAAAGTAACTATAAAGAGTTTTTCACCGTTCCTTCCATACCTCCAAGACATGGATTTGTTATGTTTTAAACCTGCTGTTGCAAATATGTAATTTTCCAATTTTACCTTTATGGCATTCCCAAATTTTAGCCTCTGAGCCACTTAAACAGTCTTTTGGCCAAATTCTACCATGTTTAAGGGATTCTAGTGATTTTGTGTAAAGAGATTTTTTATCTGTGCACTGCTGTGCCTGAACGAAAAAATGATTGACTCAAATTCAAGGAAAGGTGAATAATTCTTAAAACAGTAGTTTTAAGTAGTTATACCACTTTTTAAAAACTTGAGCTAGTAATAAATTTCATAAGCAACTGGCTTATGTAGCAATATAAAATCGTGTAGAAAACAAAAACACTTTTTATGGACTTTTTCATTTTGTTTAAATACTTTTCAGGTTCAGTTAGTACTGCAGATGGTTCTGCTCTAGTGAAGCTGGGAAATACTGCAGTCATTTGTGGAATTAAAGCGGTAGGTTTAATATATGTTTTACTGAAATGAGTTACCAGATTATCTTCATATTAGAGGCCCGAGCACGAAATTCGTGCGGGGGAGTGGTGGGGTGGCCTTGTCTGACTGCTGATCGGGCCTAAACTGGCAGTCGGACATCCCTCTTGCAATCTGGGATGCTGCATGCACCAGTGACCATACTTTTCATACAGGTGAAAGGCATCTTGCTGTTGTATGGGCAGCTACATTTTTTTGCCCTGATTATCAAAAGTAGTACATAACATGATTCTTCTGAGGCAGTAGTACCATTTTCCCCATCTTATGGGTGGGAAAACTGAAGCAGAGAGAAGTTAAGTAATTGGCTTTGTCACACAGTTATAAGTGTCAGAATCAGGGCTGACCACAAAATGTGCAAGCCAGAGTCCATGCATGTCATCGCTGCATCATCCTGTTTTTTTAGTGTTAAGAGTAGCCTTGCCAGTTCTAATTTTTAAATCTAAGACTGTTCCCAATATATAGGGAAGGGTCCCTAGGCCTGGCCAGTTATCAGGATCGATATGTGGGGTGACTGGCAGCCGGGCGCCACCCACTGGCCGGCCCTGCCCCCCCCCCCCCAATCACTGCTGCCACCGGTCGTCTTCCTCTGGCGGGGGCGGGGGGGGGGTGAGGGGGGGTTAGGGGGGGGGGTTGACTCTCAATGCAGGAGCTGCCCCAGTCAGTCAGTGCGCATCATAGTGACTGGTCGTTCCGCTGTTCAGTCCATTTGCATATTAGGGTTTTATTATATAGGATACTGATTAAATTATAATATACACTAGTAATTCTGTTGACTAGGCAGGCAGTCAGGTGTCAGCTTTTAGTATTTTTCATTTCCAGAGAGCTTTCATCTTTGAGTATTAGATAACACGACCCAAGTTTAATGACTCAGTTATAATTTATGGGTATTCATCAAATGTTTTGAAATCAAGTAATTTTCAAAATTTGACTACCTTTATTTTTTTAAGAATTTGGGTATAATTTGAGAGATTAAGAGATTTTTGGTGACATCCTTTTATCCAGTGGTGGTATTTAATCCATGCAAATGTGTAGAAAATTGAGATTGTTCAAAAGAAAATTGTGAGGGAATAATAGCTACCATGTGTTGTGTACCTGTTATGTTTCAGGCACCTTATATTAGGTACTTTACAAAATTAATCAAGTTTAATCCTCAGAACAGTTTTTGAGGTATAATTTCTGTCTCCTGTTTTACATGAGGTTCAGTAACTTGTCCAGGAACATAAGGCTCATAAATAAATAGAACTTCTAACTACACTGCACTCTTACTTCACCCAAGCTCAGATTCTTCCTCGGTAAAGCTGGGGTGATATCTAACAATAAGATTTGAACTGCCAAATTTTATATTACGGACTTAACAGCATTATCTCATTTGACCCTCATTAACAGTCCTTAAAAGTAGGTCTCATTAACTTCCCATTTTGCAGATGAGGAAATTGAATGGTAAGAGGTTAAGTAACTTACCCAAAGTCTCTCAGCCAAAAAGTATGGGTCTGACATATGAAACAGGTGATTCCAGAGCTTTTGCTTAGTTCCTTTATCTGTTACCATCATTTCCTAAATCTGGCTGTGCCAGTATCACACTGGGGTTTAAGTTAAAGATTCGTGGCTACTGAATTAGTGCAAGTGAGGATGGAGGAGAAATCCAAATAATATTTTTTAATTTTGATGAGTAGCACTGTAGTGTAACTATGCTGTACTGCCTCATTACTGCAGAGCTAAAGTGAGTGTTGGTGCCATTAGAGTCCCTGACACAACTCCCTAAGCATAGTAGATGCTCATGATGTGGTAAACTAGTTAATATGTTTTTTGGTAGAGCCTTCCATAACTAAGGCTTTCTTCACAATTATTTAGTAGCTTCTTTGATTGGAAACATTTGTTTGCTTCTATAGGAATTTGCAGCACCACCACCAGATGCCCCTGATAAAGGATATGTTGGTAAGTTATAATTTTGTAATTTTAATACAAATGCTTTAACACATTTAATACAAATATTATGTTAAGTACTAGTAGTTGAGAAAATTATTCATAATCAGAAATATATAGGAATGAAGCAGACATTCCTGAAGTTTTCTACTGGAAGATAGCATAAGAGAATTTTGTAATTTTTCAAACTCGTTCAAATCAGTTTTTGTTTATACATTCAGATGTCATCAACCAAGAAAATAGAATCTCCTAGGAAAAGGCTGTAATTGGAGACTTTGTGATTTTTTTTTTTTTAATCCTCACCCAAGGATATGTTTTTATTGAGAGAGAAACATAAATGTGAGAAACATCGATTGGTTGCCTCCAGCACACCCCACCCGGGTATCAAACTTGAAAGCTAGGTATGTGCCCTGACTGGGGAATCAAACCCACAATCTTTTTGTGCATGGGGATGATGCTCTAATTAACTCAGCCACCCAGCCAGGGCCCACTATGCCATCATTTTTCTTGACTTGGGCTATCCTTTTATGGTAGGAACCAATATTTTTAAAATGCAGAACAGTTGGGTATGAGTAGAGGGGCTACCTTCTGCGACAGATTGAGGTATTTCGAAAGAAAGAAAACTTGTGAAGGATTTAAACCTTAAATGCTTTTTAAAAATATATATATTTGTGTGGTAAAAAGTCAGAAATATAGATTTTACTTTATCCAAGCTTAATAGTCTTAAAAAGACTAAAAATATAATTGATGTCTTATAATCCTTTCCACTTGGAAAAAGCTATCCATGGTGACAGTCCCCTTGCAGTGGATTTACATTTAACACTTTCATAAACCAGAAGTGAAGTTTATTTCATAGTTGCAGAGTGTTTCTTTCAGTTCCTAATGTGGATCTACCACCTCTGTGTTCGTCGAGATTTCGGTCTGGACCTCCTGGAGAAGAGGCCCAAGTAGCTAGCCAGTTCATTGCAGATGTCATTGAAAAGTAAGATAATCGGGATAAAGTATTACTATCATTCGTTTTCAGACAGTTTTGACCTTTCCTTTACTGTGTTGTCATTCAGTTCACAGATAATTCCGAAAGAGGACTTATGCATTTCTCCAGGGAAGGTAAGAATAATAGAGAAGCTATAAGCTTTTATTAATTGTTTTGTGGAGAGTAGACAGGGAAATTAACAAAACCACAGTAGTAGCCTTCAATACAGATGTCTTATTTTTAGATGAAGTTCAGTAAAAACATGTCTTATTCTGTAACTATGTAGTAAATATAAAGACAACCAATTTTAACTAATTTATTGCCTGAGTTGGAGCTACATTAAGCTGAGGTAATTCTTTTCCCCTTTTACCACAAACATTCTTTTTTTTTTTCCTTTATAGTAGATTACTGGTATCTGATTAGCTAATGTGTTTAAGGCACTATAAATTCTAACTCTATTGGAAAACTTAGAACTAAGTTGACTAGAACCTATAGGATTTTTCTGTTTGATTACATATTTACTTGTAAAACAGTGGTTCTCAACCTTCCTAATGCCGCGACCCTTTAATATAGTTCCTCATGTTGTGGTGACCCCCAACCATAAAATTATTTTCGTTGCTACTTCATAACTGTAATTTTGCTACTGTTATGAATCGTAATGTAAATATCTTATATGCAGGATGTATTTTCATTGTTATAAATTGAACATAATTAAAGTATAGTGATTAATCACAAAAACAATATGTAATTATATATGTGTTTTCCGATGGTCTTAGGCGGCCCCTGTGAAAGGGTTTGTTCAACCCCCAAAGGGGTCGCGACCCACAGGTTGAGAACCGCTGTTGTAAAACCTACTAAGCATTTTTTTTTAAAGGGAAACCAACTTTTTTTTTTTTTTTTTTTTTCCCAGAGAGAAAGGGAGGAGAGAGAAATATTAATGACGAGAATCATTAATCGGCTGCCTCCCGCATTCCCCCTACTGGGGTTTGAGACTGCAATCCCAGCATGTGCCATGACCAGGATCTAACTGACCTCCTGGTTTGTAGGTTGACGCTTAGCCACAGAGGAACACCAGCCAGGCCCTACTAAGCATTTGATGTATTAAGGTTTCTTTGGGAAAGTATATTTTAATTTTCATTTGGGACTTTCAAAAGTATTTCCCGCATCTGACTTAGCAACAGGAATGGAAATGTTTGTCACTTGTCAGCTTGTTAGTCAGAAGCCAGCTTTTACCAACCGTAACCACTTTTTTTGGTTTATTTCTTAAAGGTAAAGGTTTTTCTTTTCTTTGTAAGTTTTTGAGCCTTGAAGGTTATCTTGTTTAAGGGTTCTGTGGTGTATAAGTTGAAGCAAATCCCATGTTCTACCCATCAGAAGACTTTAATTTGCTTTGTGTAAACTCTATTTTAGCTTGCTTGGGTTCTATACTGTGATCTCATTTGCCTTGACTATGATGGAAATATTTTGGATGCCTGTACATTTGCTTTGTTGGCAGCTTTAAAAAATGGTAAGCAATCTTAATAAAAGGCAATATTCCTCCTCTTGTGTCAGAATATTCTGTTTTGTTAAACTTTCTCAAACTTTTTAGGCTTTTGTTATGATTTAGCCATCATTCATTTTGGTCTTTCTAAATTAATAAAAATGTTTATATACACTGTATTTATCTTAATGTTCTAAGGTATTTTTTTCTAAAAGATTACTTCTGGAAAAGTTAAACAGGCAAAAGTGAACTTAGTAAAAGCCATGTTTGCTACTTACACTAGAGATACTAACATATTTGCCTTTCTAGTACAGTTGCCTGAAGTTACTATAAATGAAGAAACTGCTTTAGCAGAAGTTAATTTAAAGAAGAAACGTTATTTGAACATTAGAACTCATCCAGTTGCTACCTCCTTTGCGGTCTTTGATGAGTAAGTTAAATGTATAAAAACTGTTTTAAGTATTCTTCTAAAATAAAATGTTTCATGGATTGATAATTTACACTTCAAAAAATTTTTAAATAGCACTCTGCTCATAGTGGACCCTACTGGAGAGGAGGAACATCTGGCAACTGGAACCCTAACAGTAGTAATGGATGAGGAAGGCCAGCTATGTTGTCTTCACAAACCAGGCATGTTCCTTCTATTTCAGTCCTAAATATTTGGATAAAAACTCTATGTGAGCTTCTTTACATAGGAGTGGGGCAAATGGAACATGGGATATTTTACCATGTACCTAATGCAGCAAGTTTAAAATGACAGTTTGTTACCTCAAATTCCTTATGTTTTTATGTTGTTTACCAGTGGTTCTTATGGCATGCATTGGAATCACTTGGAGGTCTTAAAACATAACTTGGCAATCTTAACCATACCCCCTGGTTTACATTACTGAAAGTTTTGGTCTATAACTTGACATGTTGATCATTAAAAGTACAATAGCATATATTAACAGTGTTGGTACAATAATTTTTCAGGTGGAAGTGGGCTGACTGGAGCTAAACTTCAGGACTGTCTGAGCCGAGCAGTTACAAGGCACAAAGAAATAAAAAAACTGATGGATGAAGTAATTAAGAGTATGAAAGCCAAATAACTACGTTTTCAAAACATATTTGTAAAAACTGTATTTATTACACTGCACAAATCTTTCATACTAAATAAATATCAAACTACATTTTTCTGAAGGACATATCTAGTATTTCTTAGGCCACTTCAACATGTTTTATGTACAGTGGAACAATTCTGAAAAAGCAGTGTCTTAAGCAAATGAACCCTAATGGTTTGTTAAAGCATTTCCCTGTTTTTATTTAAAAATCATAGGGTTGTGCTTCTGTATAAAGTTTGTACATCAAACAATGTAAAATACTGATTATGTTTTAAAAAACAAAAATGAAGTAGAAACTCAATCCTTTTGATTCATTGCTCTTGTTTTTAAAAAAGAAAAAAAATAATGCAAGACTCAGAATTTTGGAGTGGTTGGTGTGCCTCTCTTCATTTTACTTTTTGACTGGCTGCCTGTATGCCGTTGACGATGTAGCTGAGCTGTTTGTGCTGTTGCTGCTGCCATAGCCATTTGATGCTGTAAGAATCGCAACTGCTGCAAAAAGGGGGAGGGGGGGAAATCAAGGTACGTTAAATGTAAGCAGGTATAAAAAGGTGCTTTTCCTGAGAGAGATGAAAACAAAAGTGAAAGGGAGAAAGCACTAAGATAACAAAAGGGGACTATACCACATTCAGACAATGCACAATCAAACAGCACCAGTGGCACAGAAGCCTGCTGAGGGCTTTTAAAATGGTTCTTGGTACACTTCAAAAATACATGTTACTTTGCCCTGCCAGTCTATATTGTAGTAACTCAGCAACTTCAGTTACCATTTTGTTGTATGATAGTTTATAGCAATATAAACCACCCTGCATATAAAAGATAGTCAACTATAATATGCTGACTTCCTGAGATAATGGAATGACATTTTTCTAAAACAGGTATGACATTTACTAATAGGAACACTGGCATTCTTGTCTTTTTCTGCAGTACAAGTTAACCATTGGCATTGACAACTGTCTATTTCAAAATATAATGCAAACTACAAAAATGGGATGTTAATGTGCCACCAGCACTTCATGAAAGACATTAAATTAAGTATGGCTTAAATGTACAAAATATATTCAGTGCTCCAATCTGACTGGCTAAAATGTCACACTTAAATAAAATTTGCTAAGCTATCTATTACTATATAGTCTTAAAAGACAAAATAAAACTAAGGTTTTTTGAGGTACTTTTGGAGCAGAGTATCTTTAAAATGTAATCAGAGTGAAGTTGCTGGATTACTTGTATCTGTTGCTGCTGCTGTTGAAAGGCAGAGGAGGCAGAGGAGAGCTGGAATCTCTGCTGAGGAAGGCTTTGCTCAGGTCTGTTCTCGGCAGAGCCAAGCTGAGACAACACTACAGAGGAGAAGGGGAAAGCAGGCCAGTCAAAAGTTTGAAGGCTACCAGGATTAGAAAAGGACAACACAGAAAATGAAATAGAAAAGTTATCAGTATGATTAATCTTAAGTATCAAATCACAGACATTTCAGAATAAATTTAGTCTCCTGTTAGTTGAGGGCACTTCCTGGACATACAAGGGGAAGGAAGTGCACATGTGCTAAGCACTGTATCCCTTCATGCATCTCACTGAAATTTGGTAATAGTGCTATTTTGTTTAGAAGGCTTTCTTGTAAAATGTAAAATATATGACTTATTTTAAAAGATAACTAATAAAGTAGGAAAGGGGGTGGGAGAAATCCAAGCTACCATAATGACATAACTGGTAAACAAGTGCTATTAAAAGATACTGCAATGAGTATCAGCCTATATTAGTAGCAACAGAGATGGTGAACTGAGCCTGTGCATTATTACTTTTTGAGCTGAGTGGGACCACAATAATCAGTTCAACCCTCTCACTGTAAAAAGGAAGAAATTTCAGGTGTAGATGATTTGAATGACTCAGGCAATTAGTGGCAGGTCTGGAGCATGGAGCATTTTTATGATTTTTCAGTCTAGAGTTCTTTCCACTAAATTATACAAGAACTTTAGAAAATATATATCTTGGGGGGTAAAGGATTATAAAAATAACTTTCAAAAATTCTCTAGCTCTAAATCTCTACATGTAAGACCTTGCTTATTCTAAATTCAGACACTGGGAGTTACTAGTATATGATTATAAAGGCACCAATGATAATTCAAAATGTTGACATGATCTCACTCATTTAATCCTCAAACTCTGTAATTACTATTTTCAATTGACAAGATAATCTTCACTAAAGACTTATGGTTCACCATAACTGGTTCACTATTTTACTGTGGAAGTGGTAAGCAGTCATTTAGTATAATCTCACTTTCTTACAAATGACAAAAAGTGGCTTATAGAAGTTATGTTTACTGACATTATATCTTAATTCATGCAAGTACAAGATACCAGAATGAGAAAAAATATTATGCAATATATAAATGCCCAGAAAAACTAAGGAGTTAACAACTTTGGTAGCTTCTTAGTAAGTTGGATAATTATATAAAATTTTGCCAACAAACTAACACAAGGAAAACACAACTGTTAATATATGTAGTGTAGAATCACTTTAAATTAATCAACTGTCAGTGGGAAAAAACTGAGGGCTATCAATAAATTGATTTAATAGTTCACAAGTAAATATACCTATACTTTTTCCTACTTAATGCTTGCAAGAGAAGGAAAAATAATTTTAAAAGGTGAGATCCCAACTAGATTAAATAGTAAACTCAACATATGAAGTCATGAAGATACCAACCAGCTGCCTGTGACTGCATAAAACTTCCTACTCCAGCAAGATTAATAACAGCAGCATGCTGAGCAGATAAGGCCTTTTCTTGACTGGTTGAGCCTTGTTCAGAACCCTAAATAAAAATCATACATGAGTTGTATAAAAAGAAAAACCATTTGTGTTGGTAAGAAGAAATTAATATTTTCCTTATAGGACAAAAAAAAAAAATATCAGTTTTAGACTCATAAAAACAGTAACATAAGGAAAAGACTTCAGAAGAATTAGCAAGAACAAATCCTATATAATAAAAGCCTAATATGCTAAGTGTCCGGTCATCCAGTTGTCGGTTCAACCAATCAAAGCATAATATAACCACTCACTATGATGTGCACTGACCACCAGGGGGCAGACGGTCAATGGAGGAGCTGCCCCCTTGTGGTCAGTGCACTCCCACAGCTAACCTCCCATTGCCGGCCAACCTCCCGTGGTCCCTCCCCCCGGGCCAGCCAGCCCCCACAATCAGCCCAATCGCCGGCCAGGCCAAGGGACCCCACCTGTGCACAAATTTGTGCACCGGGCCTGTAGTATGAAATAAAGTTACGATTCCATAATACAAAACATGGAAAGCTAGAAAAGCACATACCTGTTCCCCTGGCTGTTGAGGACTGGAAGTTGTGGGTTGCTGAGGTTGTTGGGGTGTAAATTGAGAAAGCTGCTGCTGCTGCTGCTGCTGCAGAGTGTTGAAAATTAGTGAACCACCTGGAAGCTATTAAGAATTTAAACATGAATTAATCAATTTCACATTGTTTAAATTTCTTTATTCTGCAAGTATTTTTGGAACATTCACTATGTGTCAAGTACTCTTCTAGATATTGAGGAAACAGAGGTAAACAAAAATAAAAGTAAAGATCTCTGCCTTTAAAAGAAAGGTTTGAAAACAATTTTTAAGTGTTATTACTAAGGGCTCTCAAATATGTTAACACTATCAAACATAAATCATTCTGCTTCAATTTAGTGACATATACAAATATACGCATGGCTTTTAACTTTTTTTATACCTCAATACAAAACAGCATTAAGTACATTAGAAAGTAAACAAGAAGCCAGTGAAAATCAGAGATATACTTATGAAAACTCATCTCTCAAAATTTGTTCTAGCTTTGCCAAATCCCAGGACTTCATGGATGCTTATATAATATAGTGAGAAATTCCAAAGCTGAAAAGAAAGTGCATTAGATGTCCATATTTAGTTTGGAGACATTACCAGCTTTGTCATTCAGAATCTAAATTAAGTTAAATTAAGAAAAGGTTTTAAAAAGAAGTATTCAGAAAAATTTATGTTAAAAATTAAAACTAGGAATCCCAAATGAATCAGGAAACAAATGGTTTTTCTTTTTTATTCTATAGGGGTTTAAATTATAAGCATTTTGAAGTCCTTAAGAAAAGTCCAAATAAATACCAAATACAGAATTCTGAGATCTGTAGAGTTAAAAAGTAAAAAAATAAAAAAGGTGTCCTTGGGTCAAAATCTCTATACCCAGCACAGCTTATTGTTAAGTAAATTTGGGCATAGCACAGGTGAGATGTTCCTTCCTCAATCAGTTAGATAATAAATGTAGCAAAATTAATTTTTATGGTGGCTCTGTCATTATTCTTTATTATCAGTTCTATTAAGGAATTCCATTCCTCTTTTCACTAAGACTAATCCCTGACAGAAATTCCAACAGCAATCAATATGTAGGAAAGTTGAATAAACCAATGTGATTTGTGATTTGTCCATACTGCAAGTAAACTGTTCTGTAATTATAGTCTGTATATAGTAACACTGTGTTTGAATCTTGGACAAGAAGTTTTAAGTTTTGGCTCTAAACACATTTCCTGATTTATTTCTGAACTAGAGGCCCGGTGCACAAAATTCGTGCACGGGTAGGGTCCCTAGGCCTGGCTGGCGATCAGGGGCTGATCTGTGGGGCGACTGGCGGGGTGATTGGGGGCCCCTCACTGGCACCCACCTTGGCCGCATTGGGGCCTGTGGGCTGGGGGCAGCTCCTGCATTAAGAGTCTGCTCCCTGGTGGTCAGTACGCGTCATAGCAACTGGGCGTCATAGCGACCAAGCATTCTGCCGTTCAATTTGCATATTAGGCTTTTATTATATAGGATACCAGATTGAGTTGATTTGTCTTTTACTGCTGTTTCCCAATTTTGTGACTCTAAATCTTTATATTCTTGTCTACCTTTTCTAAATTCTCTGTAGATAATCCTATCAATTTCCAACCTGGGATAATACTGGAGTCCAAACCTTACAAAGGACCTAGAGCCTAACACCCTAAATATTTTAAGTTCACACTCAACATGTATGAAATCTCCACTTTTGATCTCTCTTTATATGCTGTCTATGTTGGCATTGATATCATTTATAAGAAAAGCCTCATCATTAGACACAAATTGTAATCTAATGAATATTTACCAAATGACTCTTAGGTGCCTGGCACTGTGCTAAGAAATCATTCTCAGGAAAAGAACAAAGCTATTTTTAAATCCTCTATTCAAGTACAAAATCTTTTGTAAGCAAAAAGTACTACATATATGTAGACACAAAATGTTTATTGAGAGACGAATTATTTTTTAAGTATAGGTACTACTGCTATTGTAGGCAACTGTTCACTTTGTAGTTGTCAATTCTCT